GCGTCTGGGGCGGTGCGGACACGCATGTTCTCGGTTAACCGCACTTGACGCAACTGCTCCCATAGGGGCGAAGACTTAAAGCAAGCTTGAATCGTCTCCGCACGCGTAGCATCCTTCAGTACAGGTAGAATCTGGCGGTGATCACCGCTGAACACCATTACCTTTCCGCCGAACGGCTCCAGGAAGCGACCTGTCAACAGCCTCAAAGCAAGCTCGGTTCATCATCGGCGCTTCGTTCCAACTAAACAAACTTGCGCTACGAATCAATTCGGCTTTTTGGCTCTGCCATGAAAGGCTGCACGTCGACGTCTCTGTTAGTTTGAGGGGAATCCGGAACGTCGAATGCGCGGTATGACCTCCAGTTAACAAAGTGGCTGCAATCCCACTCGATGCAACCGCGATGGCAACCTTACGTTGCATCCGAACGTGAGCGAGTATTTGCTCGAGTAGGAACGACTTTCCTGTTCCGCCTGGACCGTCCAAAAAGAAAAGCTTCTCTCCTCCAACCGGTCTGCTCACAGCAGCAATAACTTGGTCAAAAATATCCCTCTGGTTGCTGTTCAAGTGGTCTGCCAGCTCCGCAACATGCTCCAGATCGTTTTGGGGGTACGCGTCAATCTCTTGCTGGACAACATCAACAGATGCTGTATCCGGGTCGTCCACTTGAGCGGATACATCGTCGCAATCGGCTAGCAGAGGAAGGCCGTACATGTCGAGGGACTTTTGGTTCGAAACCAAGTAATCAGCCAAATTCTTCAACGCCTTGTACTCCGCCATTCGAAGACGCACCTCCTCTTCGCGTACATTATGCAGGTCTGCGTCTCTTTCCTCAATGCTTCTTGCATGATCCTCTGACATATCCTTTTTGAACCTGTCCCATAGATCTTTGGCATTACCAGGCATCGAGTAAACCAAAATGATGCCGAAGAGTTGGCGTAGCTGGTACGGCATCTTGACCTCGGCGGCTTCGCGTAAGCAATGTATCCACTCGTCGTCATTTTCCAAATACCCAAGCGCCAAAGCGGCTTGCTGATATGTAGGATGTTCCGTACCATCAACTGTTCGAAGATCTGCAAAGGACTTAGGCGAGCGTCGGTTACACAGGAGAAGTCGCAAGTAGAAGCGTTCCGGGTCCTGCGGAGATACGTGTACCAAGCGTCCCAGAGAAGCAACGTACTTCTTGTACGGTTCCCACGTCTTGTGTTTCGTCCACCTGTATTTCCGTGGTACATCCTTGTACAGTAGATTTGCCGTAGCTTCTGGGTTACGCGCGCACAGCTTGAAAAACTCCGTCAGCATTGATCTGTCCCCGCGGTTAATCAAGTTGTGAAGCTGGGGAGTCGTCGCTTGGTCGCGATAAGCAACCATGCTCATTCTTTCCAAATGAATAGGTAGCGTCACGACAGAATGTGTTGATCCTTGTGTTGGATGCATGAATAGCCGCATGCAAGCTTCTACCGGAGAAATATACCTCCCAAGGAGATACTGAAGAATTTCGCTCGCCCAAATTTCTTCGCCTTCAATCGTGATTGTCGGCATGTCCGAGCCCTTGTAGACGTACTTGTAGATGTACTTGATGACCTTGTTCGTGGCACAAACCTCGACGTTAATGTGGCAGTTGTATTTCTGCGACAGGAACGGACTGTACGGGACCACCCATTGATTGATGGTCGCGTTGTCCCATACTTCCCCCTTATGGCACAGAATTTCATTCGGACGGCGACCACGTTTGTACGTAGGGTATTTGTCGGGGGTCATCACCGTTTCGTCCGCGAGCGCCTTTGGAAACTTCTTGGAACACCTTCCGCTCTTCATTCACGGGCAGCTCGGGTTCTGCTGACCACAGGGTCCATGCAGCATATTAGAAATTACCGTATGTTACAGCTCGGGGTACTTCTCTTTATCCGGGAGCTCCGAGGACACCAGCTTATCGACGTCTTCCTTGGTAGTGGGCTTGTCCTCCGGACGCAGGATAAGGAGTATGTGGGCGTGGGGAAGACCACGCTTCTGATATTCCACTACATGGACTCGAGCGGCTTGAATCTTCAGCACACCCTCATCGAGATCCTTGTTAAGAGCTTTTAGTTTCTCCATAAACACGCGGGCCACGATGTCCGGTCGGTCGGATGCCTTTTCCCCACGGCGTAAGTTTTCCTTGATCTCAGGCCAGTTCCGGTTGCATGTCATCGTAATGAACAGGTTCGGGGCTCCTGTTTCACGGACGATAGCCATGGCATCCAAGAAGCGTTGGTACATGTAGCGGGGACCACCTGTAAACTTCGGAGGTATAATTATTTGCGTCCAACCTCACCCGCATCTGGCTCCGCCGACTCCTGCTCCGTATAATTCCCACGCCGAGTCCTACGTATGGCCGCCTCGTCGTCAGCTGCCATTCTGTGGATTTCAACAGACTCGCCACGCAACGCGTCCGTGAGTCCCTGGAGGGTTTCCAATCGATACTGGAGCTGGTTCTTCTTTATGAAGCGCAGGCGTTCTTGTTCGCATTTGGCCCATTGGTCAACGCAGTATTGCTGCGTCAGTCGCCCACCGCGCAGGATAAGCGAATTACTAACCGTCCGGTCGTAAAGCAGATACGCCTCATATTCCCGAACGGACATGGTTAAGGGGTCACCGTGGCGATCGACGGGATCGCATTACAGCAAAAAAAAATTAAAAGATTATTAGCTTATAGTTCTATCAGTCATGTAGGTTTTATTTTAATAGGATTTACTTCAAATATGTTAAATAATATTCCATTTATTTTATTATATGTTCTTATTTATATTATAACAAGTATTAATTTATGGACTTCATATTTATCTTTAAATATAAATCATAAACCAATTAAATATTTAACAGATTTATCAAATATACATACTATTAATAAATTAATTGCTATTATTATTATTATAAATATTTTTCATTAGCAGG